GTGTGTATATGTGTGTGTGGTGTGTGTGTGTGCAGCGTGTGTAGGGGATGTGTGTGATATGTGTGGTATGTGTGTGTGTGTGCGGTGTGTGTGGGGGATGTGGTGTGTGATATGTGTGGGGTGTGTGTGTGTGGTGTGTGTGTGGGGGATGTGGTATGTGATATGTGTGTGTATGTGTGTGTGCAGCGTGTGTGGGATGTGGCGTGTGCGGTGTGTGTGTGTGTGCGCGTGTGTGTATGTGTGTGTGGTGTGTGTGTGTGCGGCGTGTGTGAGGGATATGTGTGCGGTGTGTGTGTGTGTGTGTGTGTGCGGTGTGTGTGGGGGATGTGGTGTGTGATATGTGTGGTGTGTGTGTGTGTGTGCGTGTGTGTATGTGTGTGTGGTGTGTGTGTGCGGCGTGTGTGAGGGATGTGTGTGCGGTGTGTGGTGTGTGTGCGTGTGTGTGTATGTGCGTGTGTGTGCGGTGTGTGTGGGGGATGTGTGTGATATGTGTGGGGTGTGTGTGTGTGCGTGTGTGTATGTGTGTGTGGTGTGTGTGTGCAGCGTGTGTGGGGGATGTGGCGTGTGCGATGTGTGTGTGTGTGCGCGTGTGTGTATGTGTGTGCGCGTGTGTGTGTGCGTGTGTGTATGTGTGTGTGGTGTGTGCAGCGTGTGTGGGGGATGTGTGTGGTATGTGTGTGCGGTGTGTGTGCGCGGTGTGTGTGGGGGATGTGGTATGTGATATGTGTGGGGTGTGTGTGTGTGTGTGTGTGTGTGGTGTGTCTGTGCGTGTGTGTATGTGTGTGTGGTGTGTGTGGGGGATGTGGCGTGTGTGGTGTGTGTGTGTGTGCAGCGTGTGTGTGGTATGTGGCGTGTGCGGTGTGTGTGTGTGTGCAGCGTGTGTGTGGTATGTGGCGTGTGCGGTGTGTGTGTGTGTGCAGCGTGTGTGGGGGATGTGGCGTGTGTGGTGTGTGTGTGTGTGCAGCGTGTGTGTGGTATGTGGCGTGTGCGGTGTGTGTGTGCGCGCGTGTGTGTATGGGGGTGTTGTGTGGAGTCTCCCTCCCAGGCCCTTGCCTGTGACCCTCAGTGACCGATGACTTCAGGGCCCCAGAAAGGTGTCGTCTCCGGGTTCCCAGCTACCATTTATGGAGGGTGCTGACACTGGCAGAATCCGGGAGCCTTTTCGAGAACAGAATACAGAATTCACATTCGGGTCCGCCAGGCCCGTCCCTCCTCGGACTGTCCCTAGCAATTTTTATGTGTAAGTTTCTGTTCTTTCTCTAGCTTGGAAGGGGCTGGTGAGCGTGAGAGCGGGGGGCGCGGGAAGAGCCGCCCCTTTGCCTGTTTCAGTGGGAGCCGCGCGCTGAGTGTCGCACACTCGCTGGCATTTGATTTTCGCCGCAGCCCCTCCCCGCCGCCCCTCGCCCTCGTGCCTGTGCCTGGATTGCCAGGCTGGAGCTGCCCCAGCAGTGGGTGTCTCTGTGCTTCTCAGCTCCCCCCTGCCTGGGTCAAAAGCCCACTAGTCATTTGGGTCTGTTGTCTGGCCCCCCATGTGCGGACCTGCCTGCTGTCACCTGGTCCCCATTTGGTGGAGGGGCACATCTTCTGGGGATGGGGATTAAGGAAGACTTCCTGTGGGAGACGCTTTTGAGCTAAGCCTTAAAGGACACGCAGGATCTAAAACATAGAGGTTGACGGGATCGTGGGTGGCGGGGGTGGGCCTTTCGCCGCCACGGCAGGCAGGTTTCACGTGGCCAAGCTTAGTTGTCCTCCTGCCCAACCCTGCGAACAGCGCCTGTTTACAGGCGTCTGTTCTGGGCCGGACGCGAGGGTCAGCGTTTCGCCTGTGGGATCCGTAGTAGTTTGCTGGGGCTGTCGTAGCAAATACCACGGACTGAGCGGCTGAAATAACAGAGGTTTATTTCCTCACAATTCTGGAGGCTGGAAGTCCAAGACCAAGACGTTGGTGGGGCTGATTTCTCCTGAGGCCTCTCCCGGCTCGTGGTTGGCCGTCTTCTTTCTCCTCCCCACATCTTCGTCCACTCTCGCCCCGGGCTGTCTGGGTCCTGACCTCTTCTTGGAAGAACGCACCAGTCACACGGGATCAGGGCCGCGTTTTACCTTAATTACCTCTGTAAACACCCTCTCTCCAAGCACAGTCACACCATGAGGCCCTGGAGGCTAAAACTGCGACATATGAATTTTGGGGAAACACAATTCAGCCCCTACCATGACCTCATGTGATTTTTTTCAGGAATGTCCCCATTTCACAGCGGAAGCTCCAAGAGGTAGAGCAATGGTTCTCAAACTGTTCAGGCATCGGCATCCCCTGGGGGCTGTTAGGTCACAACCCACTGGGCCGCGCTCCCTAGCATCTCTGAGCCAGGGGGTACGGGACGGGGCGGGAATGTGCATTTCTAACACACCCCCAGGGCACGCCGACGCTGCTGGTCAGGTAGGCCACTTTGAGAACCATTGAAGTAGGCTAACTTGCCCAGCAAAAGACCTGTCCTTCCCTGGCCCGTGGCTTTTGGTCCCACGTTAAGGACCTCGGAACAGAAACTTGTCTCCAAGAATCTGGTGCCAAGTGCTCCGGCCTCTGTGGATGGGAGGACCGGCTGTGGCAGGCTCTCTCTTCCTCTCTCCCTACAGGATAGGCGCCTTCAGCCTGAATTCCAGGACAGGCAAACCCATGCCAGCTGTGTCCAACGGGTAGGTCGCCAGACGTCTCTGGCCTTGGAGTCCTCAGACGGTCAGCCAGCTCTGCAAAGAGCCTCCGAGTCTGGGCCCAGTCCCTGCTCCCATCACTGTGAATTCGGCTCTGGTTAGGGCGACACAGGGGGTCCCTCCCTTAGGGACCCAGGCACTTTGGACCTGGATGGGGGACCCCCACCCTGCAGCAGGCCCCTCCCCTACCCAGGCTAGAGCTTGAGCATCCCGGCCCCTGCGGCTGGGGAGACTTCAGGGAGCAGGGTGGGGCTTAGAGGTAGGGGCTCTTTTCTGGAATCAGCAGGGCTGGGCACTCTCCACTCCCTTCCTCTCTCCCTGGCTTGGTTCTTCCACCCCTACCCCTTTCTCTCTCCCTTTCCTCCCCGCCCCTCCTCAGCCCTGCTCCCCTCCCCTGTTTTCACTGCTGGATGTCAGCCTCCCCCTCACCACAGAGTGGGTCCAGCTGAGTCCCCCCTTTTCACATTTGCTCACCAGCTGTGGTGGGTGGGCCATCCTGGCTCCCAGCCCCCTTGACCATCTGACTTGGCTGGCCTCTGCAGGGCCTCCCCACCCCTCCCTCTCCTTCCCTGCCGGGTGAGGAGTCCCTGCCCTGGCTTCTTTCTCATGCCCACTACGGGGCAGGGCAGGGGGCATTTGGCCGGAGGACCAGCCCCAAGGGGCCCGGCAGAAGGGCATCTCGGAGGGGTAAGCAGAGCTCCCCTGGCTTCCCTGAGGGCTCCCAGGAGTTGGGGTTGCACAGCTGGATCGGCCACCTGACCGGCTGCACGGGAGGAAGGGGCCTCCAGGGGACGGGGAGAATGTGGACACCAACACAGGAAGGTAGAGACGCAGCAGGTGGGCGTGGACAGGGCAGGAGGCAGAGCGAGGCACAGAGACAGGGAGGGAGGCCAAGCAGGTGGGAGCAGGTTGGGGCTGGAGAGGAGGGAAAGCGAGATCGGAAATAGAAGAAGGACTCAGAGGCGAAGAGAGGAACAGATGGAGAAGCAGGGGGCGGAGGTGGATTCTAGCTCCCCGGGCAAACAACTCATGTCTTTACTACCACAGAGGACCAGACCAGGCGGTGGGGAAGGGCTTGGGGCACTCAGCTCAGCGGCCCAAGTCTGGGGGGACAAGCTGGCAGGCGGTGCCACCCCAGATGTAGCCCCTGTCCTGCCCACCTGATCTGGAGAGATCTGGGCTGTCTCTGCAGTCCCCCAGGGCCGCCCCCCTGCCTCCGCTGCTCCGTCTGAGAGCTCTCCCACTCAGAGCTGGCTCTGGGAAGCGCTCCATCAGTGGTTCTCAAAGCGTGCTCCACACACAGCCTGCTGGTGGCCCTGGGGCTGGCCTGAGCTGTAAGGCTGGACTGTACCAGCTTTGCACGATTTTGCAGCAAAGGGTGCAGGGAGGGAAACGAGGCTCATCGAAGGCCTTCCCTGTGCCAGGCACCGTGTGTCCAGGGCAGTTAGTAAAATGATGCTACACTCACATTCCTTTTGTAGGTGAGGGAACTGAGGCTCAGAGAGGTGCAGTAATGAGCCCAAAGTCATATAGCTGCTGGACAACCTGACGTTTTCCTGCCCCTCCCAGTGGCCCCTGGCTACACTGGGACCCCCCCCTGGCTTAGTCTTAAACATCAGAGTGGGCTAGTGCCTGGGGAAGTGGCTCCCACCTGACGGGGGAAGAGGTGGCAGGTCCCCTGGGTGGAGCCCCACCCTGGGGTCTTGCCCTGCTCAGGGTATTTTCTGGGGCAGACTGATTTCAAGGGCCTTGCCCTGGTTGCGCCTCCCTGAGGAGCCACACGGTTGGCTCGGCTCTCTCACCCCCAGGGAGACCCCAGCCGAGAGTTCGAGGGGAGGTGGGCAGCCAGGGGACAGAGCCCAGGCAGGCTGCCACCAAGGGTCTGCCAGCCCTCCCGCCTTCCTCCTTGCTGCTCTCCCTCCCATGGTGACTCAGACTGGCTCAGAGCTGGAATGTTCTGGGACTCTGGGGGTCAGCCGGGTGCAAGGTGGGGTGGCTAGCCCACGAGGTCTTTTGCCCACAGAAGTGGTCTCTGGATGGAAAGTTTGAGAACCACTGGTCTGGAAGCCTCTGGGTGAGTCTGGATGCTTTTCCGATTCTAGGACTTTCACTGCAGACGCTGCCCTTCCCGGTGGGAGCAGGGGTGGGGCGTGACCCCAGGAAGCAGAGGCTAGGGGCAGATATGCTGGAGGGGAGGGGACGGGGCGGACAGGGAGGGGCTGATGCAGGGACTGCTGAGGTTTGTGTCTCTGTCTGTGTCCGGCTTTCCATTCTTCCATCTTCTCCTCTCCCAGTGGTGTCCCAGGGAAGAAATGTGGCACCATCATCCTGTCCGCTGAGGAGCTCAGCAACTGTAGGGTGAGTGCAGAGGGACTCCGGGACAGGGCCTGGCGAGGGTGGGCAGTGACAGGGCAGGCTGGCCCAGGACCTGTGTGTCCCTGGAGGGAACAGAGGGTACCCAGGGCTCCTGATTCTGACCTGACTGTCAGAGAATTCTACAACACTGGAGCTGGAAGGCATCTTCCCTTTTGACAGCTGGGCAGACTGAGGCCCAGAGAGGGGAAGGAACTGGCCCACAGCGGCAGAGCAGAGCCAGAGGCTGGGCTCCCTCCAGTCCCCATCACAGCCACCACCCACATGTCCTTGAGCCAAGACTGCCTTGGCACCAACGCTGGCGGCAGAGGGGCCTTTTAGGGAGCCTGGACGCCTGACATTTAGCTGTCATTTTTCACTATCATCTCTGGCGTAGGGTGACAACGCCCTGCGTGGGGTTGAGGGAGGGAGTGTGTGTGTGTAAGTCAGAGTCTGCAGTCCCAGGCAGCCCTTGATTTCGCTGCTTCTGTGGGACTGTGGGGAAGCAGGGGATGGGGGCAGCTGACCGGGCAGCTGAGCACACCACGAAGGGGCTCATGGGACCTCAAGGCTAATAATAAGGATAAAATATCATAATGGTGATAGTTATTATTAGTCAGGTAACAGACATTTTACGTAAGTTATCACTGCTCCTCACAAAAATGCTAGGAGGCAGGAACTAAAATGTTATTCCCATTTTACAGATGAGGAAATTGAGGCTCAGAGAGGCAAAGTCACCTGTTCAAAGGATAATAAGCAGCAGAATCATGGTTCTAATCCAGGTCAACCTGATTCTAAAATCCAGGCTCATCCCCCAAACCGCCAGGCTTGAGTGCCTCTTAGGTTGATCAGGAACCACAGGTACGAAGGGCGCGGGCCTGGAGACCAGAGGAGGAGGCTGGAAGAGAAGCAGGGAGGGCCAGAGCGTGTGCCCAAACAAAGCCTGGGCCAGCCTGGCCGCACGGCGTCCTGCCCTGCGGGGCTGGAGGGATGAGGAGCAGAAGTGAGATTCTCCGACCCTCCTGCTACCATCACATCAGCTGTCTGTCAGTATTTACCAGGTTAGACATTTAAACAGAAATTTTTAAAATAACAGTAGTTGAACCCATTATGGGTTACCATAAATAACACATTTTTTGAAAACTAACTATAACTCAACAAAAATCATTTAGTGACAAGAATGGCCTTGCTTTACACTTTTGTAAATCTCTTTAAAGTTTGCTTAATGGAAGACGCCGATTCTCATAGGTGCTACAGTCAATCTGTTCTGATATCAGGGTCAGACAACCTCCAGAAAACTCTGAGCATTGCTATGGGAATAGTTATGGACCCCTTAGGGTTCCCGGTCCACATTTGAGAACTGCTGGGATAGAAGTCTAACAGCGTTAGCCGACATTAATTGAGCAATTGTTCTGGGCCGCACACTGTGCTAAGTGGTTGACGTGTATTCGCTCATTTATCTGATGTATTATAAAAGTTAGCGTAATATGCAGTATGATGTCTTATAGTATCTGATGTGTTATGGTCCTCATTAATTTGCTCACCTTTACATGTGAGGAAACTGAAGCACAGAGAGGTTAAGTGACCTGCCCAAAGTCACACAGCTGCTGAGTAGAAGAGATTTGAACCCAGGCAGCTTGGTTCTAGAGCCAAGGTCTTTAACCACCAGGCTGTGGTGTCAGGAGCTCTGCCTTCAAGGGCTCGCAGTGGGAGAGTAACACACAGAATTGAGAGTCCGGGGTGGTGTAGAGATGACCAGAGAAATTCGTATGCAACTGCTCATCCTGGTGGGTCCACTCGTCTGTTCATGGCAGGGGGTCTGCAGGAGCTTGGCGACAGGGAAAAGCCCACCCGGTGTGTGCTCCGGCAGAGGGCTTGGCGCACAGCAGGTGTTCGCGGAGGATCTGGCTGGGCTATGTGGCTGAATGTTTAGTAGCAGGCAACGGTGAAACTCCCACACCTGAGTCCGCCGCAGTTCGCACACGGGAGAGAACTCTGTTGACGTGTAGAACAAAGCTTCTGTTTACGCTCCCGGAGCCTCAGTTTCCCCTGGATAGTGGAGCTGATAGGTTGCTGTGAGGACTAGGGGAGATCATGAAGGTGACTGTGTTTAACCGGTGCCTGGGAAAGGTTGAATCTAAATTCCTTGAAGCCTAAAGTCAGTTTTCCCCCAAGCTTCTAGCCCAGCGGGTGACTCCCTCGCTGGTTTATAATTAAATAAGGTAACACAAGTGAAAGAGCCTTGGAAATTGTGCAGCTTGGACGGTGCCGGCTGCTGCTGTGGGCCTGGCATTCCAGGGCTTGGTGAATGGTCTGCTTTTAATACCTGTTGGGCCCCTCCCTCTTCCTCCACCTTCCCTACTCCTCCCCTCCCCTTCACCCAGGCGGGCAGCAGTTTCCTTGATTTAAGCCGTTCCAGCGCCAGGGGTGTGTGTCAGGGGCTGGGGAGGAGGGGGTGGGTGGGGGCTCCTTCCCTTCCTCCTGAGATTGTCAGCTCCTTTTCTTCTGGGCATCTTTGGCTGAGTTCTGCCTTTCCCTAGAATACTTGCAAGGAAAAGAGACTAATTCCCAGCATCTGGCTGAACGAAAATAATTACATCTGAACAGCTTTGCTGCTGTCTTTCCAGCTCAGCATTCAGGGGGCGGATCAAAGGAGGGGGGTGGAGCCTGAGAGATGGCTTTTCCCCAGGCTGGGCTTCCTGCTCAAATGAATGCATTCTGCAGAAGTAGACAGACCCTCCCTGTATCCGCGGGGAGGGCGTGGGCGGCGGGGACCAGCACAGGATTAGAGTGGACTCCGGAGTGTCGCCAGCGTACTTCGATAGCTTACAGCTTGCTTGTCTGGAATTTGAATGCCAAGAGAGTTCTCACAGTCAGAATTTGACCCAGATACACCGAATGGTACTTGAAGTCAGGATGATGAGGTTAGGCTCCCGAAGGGCCTTCAGAATCACCAGAGGTTTAGCTATTGTTATTGTGTCTAATACTAACCAGCGTTTGCACAGTCTTTAGTTTACCAAGGCTCTCTCATTCATAGTCTAATTTGATTGTCGCCACAGGGCTGGGGCTGGGTAGGTGTGAGTGACCCTGCTCTACAGATGCAGAGAAGTGAAGTGGCCCTGCCCAGGATTGCTGGCATTCCAGCTCAGGCTGGGACTCCTCGTCCACAGGGAAAACCTCACCCATGGAGCCACGTGCCCTCATGGCTCACGGAACGGTCGGGGACCCTGTGGTCCTTTCGCGGCTCAGGAGCCTTTAGCAGGCAGGCTGGCTTTGGGCGGCGAAGGCTGGGCTTCCGGGGAGAGGGATGGGCGGCTGTCGATGCAGAGTGGGCAGCGCCTTGGCTTCGCCTAGACCTGCCGCCTCCCACGCCTGCCTTGCTTTGGGGTCAGGACTTCCCGGCTCAGGATGCCACGTCCTCAGGACCTCCCGGTCGGGTCCCTCCACACACCCAGGCAGCCCAGTCTGAGTGCTGGTGGTGAAGGGGTGTGCCTGGCTTCTCGCCGCAGCTGTCCCTGGGGTCCTTCCCACCCCGAGGGTCTCACCAGCCTGCTCGTGTGTTCATTCATTTCCGTTCAACAAATACGCTTTGACTCAGTCCCTGTTCTCCCGGAGTTTCTAATTTAGTATGAGAGTTGGAAATGCCAGCCGGCA